TGCCAGCGCCACCATTTGGTAGAGCACATTTTGTGTCTTGATATCTTGTTGAAAAAAAAAAAAGTTTAACTCCATCTGATTCAGCCAGCTCTACCCTTTTGGTTGACATGTTATGCACAAAACAACCTCTAGATGTCACTGTGGTTCGAACAGAAAGCCCTTCAGCTAGTTTAAATCTTTATATATACAGTCTATGGTTTAAATGTCAGGCCTACAGCATGGCCACAAACCCCATCTAAAAACAGAGGCCTGATTGCATCCACCTGGGTTACTTGGCTCTACCCAATAACTATATATCATTTAACTTTAAACCACACTTAAAATAATAATATAATTATACATATGTGCATGTCAGTATAGCAGCTAATACATATATGCTAACTGAACGTCGAGCATGTCAAGCTAAGAGCTAAGAGCTAAGATATATATATATATATATATGTATTCCATTCCTTTACATTTAATATTTAAAATACAAATTAGCAAAATAAACACAATTACACTGCGCTAAACAGCCACATCGACAAACAAACGAGAACCTAAATAAATAGTATGTAATTATATCTAAAACCACAATACGTTAATTACCTGTACTCGGTGCGCCATATTGTTTGTCTGTTCTCTGTAAACCTCATGGATGTTTCTCAATCGCGAGTAAAGCTGCTTCAGAGCCACTATTTCAAGCATACTACATCATCGAGTGCCGCCGAAGTACTGTTCCAATCTCCAGCATACTTGGAAATCTACCGAGCCCGGCGTACTCCGTTTGGAGAAATATCGAGGCTGCACATGAGTAGACTCCGCGGTCTTAAAATCCCCACAATGCTTTGCGCACGGACCAATTTCCAAAATCTGTGGCGGAAAATGTAAGGCGGGGCCTCTCATATGACGCACACCTGCACACTTGCTAGCGTGTTCCACACTTCGTTTTCCGAATGTCAGGAAGTATTCTTGACTCGCTTCTGAAGCAAGATGCTCGGCAGACATGTGCTACCAAGCAAGCGTACTCGCGATTGAGAAACACCCCATGTCTCCTTAAATATCCTTGCGTCAGCGTCAGTGTCGTCAATTCGCTTTTAATCTGCCATGTACGGTAATGTCTCTCAGCCACCGTAGTGTCGTGTCAGGTGGGCGTGTCGTGTAGGGGGCGTATCGTGTAGTGTCGTGTACTGGCTGCGGCCGCAGCTAGACCCTTCTCGTAGGAAGTGCTGTACGCACTTCCCTCGCCGGTACGCAATGTTTTGTGAATCGGAAAATGTCGGAACATTTCTGTACCTATTTTTTTGCTTTGTACTACGTAAGCAACCTTCCCACGTGAATCCTACGCAAGGCGTTATAAATGAGGCCCCTGGCATCTTAAATAGAGCGACAGGTTTAGGAGAATGTGTGTACAATGCTTTTGTCATGTTTTCCCCTTCAATTCTGAGAAACAAGTCGTTTTCTATGAGTTTTGGATGGCCGAAGACATGACATTACCCACAATCCTCTGTAGCAACCATAGACTGTATAAAACAATTAAATAATACATTATTCCGAGTGTGCTTGCTTTTCTCTTTGAAAGTCATCACATAACGGCATTGTAATACACGTTTCGGCTGCATTAGATATGACATATCTGCCGTAGTTAACTCTATTTATAGAGCTCTGATGACAAGACTTCTAGACAAACAGGAACTGCAGCCAAAATTGAAAACTTGATGTGGATCTTAAATATATAAGCAATTAAACAACATCTTACATTTCTTTTCACACAATACGTCTCCTTGCAGTATCAACACTAATTCGGCTGACTTTTATATTTGATCCAATTGGTAGATATGCTGTATTTACGCCATAACGGTGCACAGCTGATAGAAAGGGACACCTACTAGTTAAAGCACGTTATTGCATTTTATAATTTTATTATTAGATATTAATAGGATCCCTATAAAGTATATTCTTTACTCGTCGTTATTCTCTACTAATAGTTAATTAAAGACTGTATATAATGACTATTTTGCACATCCCATTCAAGATTTCAAGATTTTCTAAGGTTTATTGACATTAAAGACTGTATATAATGACTATTTTGCACATCCCTTTCAAGATTTCAAGATTTTCTAAGGTTTATTGACATATCATATTATACACAACTACGGTGTAGTTATGCAATGAATGAAAAACTTGGGTCGCAGGTTCCTCAACAGTGCATTACAAGACATCTATCAATATGTGTGTACCTTCACCATTACATTGTCATATTCTGCACATTTCTTATACTATCTACATACATCTTATAAGAGTATAATACATATGTATAATATCAGTTAAAATAAGTGCTTAAACATAGTTAACATGGCAGGAAAGCAATATATTAGACGTTAAGTACTTTGTCAGGCTTAATATTTATCTGTAGATACAAATTTCACTGTGTGTGCTGTGTGCTCTGCATGTGTGACCATCAGAGGGTTTCATCCCTCCATATTCATCTTCTATACCCCCAAAGCTTTTTTCTTATTCAAAAGAAGACCTTAACCTAAAGTATTCTTTAATGTTTAAATAAAGCCTTATTAGTTTGTCTGTTTTGCACATCCTCCTATTAATATCTAATAATACAATTATAAAATGCAATAACGTGCTTTAACCAGGAGGTGTCCCTTTCTATCAGCTGTGCACCGTTATGGCGTAAATACAGCCTATCTACCAATTGGATCAAATATAAAAGTCAGCCGAATTAGTGTTGATACTGCAAGGAGACGTATTGTGTGAAAAGAAATGTAAGATGTTGTTTAATTGCTTATATATTTAAGATCCACGTCAAGTTTTCAGTTTTGGCGGCAGTTCCTGTTTGTCTAGAAGTCTTGTCATCAGGGCAGAGTTAACTACGGCAGATATGTCATATTTAATGCAGCCGAAACGTGTATTACAATGCCGTTATGTGATGACTTTCAAAGAGAAAAGCAAGCACACTCGGAATAATGTATTATTTAATTTTTGTATACAGTCTATGGTTGCTACAGAGGATTGTGGGTAATGTAATGTCTTCGGCCATCCAAAACTCATAGAAAACGACTTCTTTCTCAGAATTGAAGGGGAAAACGTGACAAAAGCATTGTACATACACTAAAACCTATCAATGTCGTTTAATTAACAAGGATAATATGGTGTTTTTGAGTTGATGAGTAGTGGAGATATCACTGTCAAATCAATCGACAGTAAGGGGAATACTTACTTCCGGGTGTACAATTCTCCGTTATCCAACGGGAATGGACGCTCACATTGCCTTTAATAGCCTCCGACACAAACGAATGCCGTGCTTCCCTAAGCGTCAAATACTGACGCCGATGGGAATACATTGCAATCAGTTGAAAGCTCTTTGCGTCCGTTTATGAAGCTGAAGGAGCCTCGGCGCGTCACAACTGGACGCCACGGGACCCTGACCAAGCGTCGCTTCTGGACGCTTAGGGAGTGAGAGTGTGTTGGTTTGGTTGGTTAGTAAAGGCCGCTACACACCCACCTGACACCAAAGAACGCGTACCGAAGGCGTCCCGACTTTTCCCGACTTTTACGTCAGCTACGTCGCCTGCGTCGGCTACCCCGTCCGCCTACGAACACACCGCAAATACTTCAGTCGATGAGTGGCAATAACTGTCCTTACCAGCAGGCAGCGGTAGTGTGAACAGCCAATCAGAGTGATTGCTTGTCCCGACTTTCTCTGACCTCCCACGGCCGATTCAACATTCAAGGCGTCGGGAGGTGTGAAAAGGTGCCGTAAAGAGACGACGGTGCGGGACACACAAACCTGAGTAGGGCGCCGCGAATGCCCGACTGCCTCTGACGGCCTCTGACGGCCTCTGACTCCCAAAATCGGGCTGGTGTGTCCGGGCCTTAAGAGGGACGAGGTGCGTCTGTGTAAATGTATCATTGTTTGTTGACTGCCAGAACTAGCTCGCAGGCTTTGCCCCACATAATCAGGTTGTGGTGTATTGGTATTTAGTCAGTGCACTTGACGGTGTCCTTGCCTTTGAAAGACTTGAAAGTCAAGTGGTTGAACAGGAGTAACTAGATCACATGTAGACTGTAGCTGGTCTGTGTTCACAACATTTCCCAGATACGCCATACAAATAAGCCAATAGTGCAAGCAAACCTAGTGTTTCTGTAACCTTAATTAATGAAGTATTTTCTATTGTGCATCTATTAGTTGCATACAATTAAAATAAACTACTCTGGGATCAAAATAACTGTAGCTTGTTAAATTCCCCAAGGTTGGTTAAATCAGCAAACCTGCCCTAAACATTTTTTTACCATATATTAAAAAAAACAGGATTGGCCCTCTATCATTTTTGAACTACAACCAAGCAAATTATCTCTTTATATTTGGGGCGCTCTGACGTCTGTGCAAAGATAGAAAAGGTTTAACCTTCAAAAAAATGTGACTGCTGCACAAACATCTTGTTGCCAGAAGGGGGGGATATTACTCTGACTAGAAATTGGCATGTGGAGGTCTTCAGGCCGGGACTACTTCATAAAGTAATAAAAGTATTAACCAAATTTTAAGTTGAGCAGATAAAATCTGAACCTCAAATGTGAAAAAACGATGTAAAATAAGAAATAGCTGACTTTCTATTGGTTTAACAATATCAAAAATGTCCCAAATTGGGATCAATAAAGTACCATCTTATCTTATCTTATCTTGTCCTATTTCAAATATAGTTTTTTTGTGTCTTCATGCGTTAAGCCATTTTGCCACGCACATGTGAAGACCCAATATTTATGTCATTTTTACACCATGTCATTGCATTGAATGTTTTGCAAAGTTTATCTCTGTTATGAAGCAACTTTAGGCCCTAAAATGTGATTCACTGGAGAAAAAATAATTCCTATAGTTGGAAATGTTCCGCCTATTGTCCTGCTCAAACCAAACATTTTTTTATAAAGAGTAAAACTCTAAAATTACCAAATTATACTTTTGTGGCATGGTGAATTCAAACTTTCGAATAGAAGAGTCTCTTTCCCACTTGGGCTTTTCAATAAAGATAATCTTTATTTAATTATGAGGACACCAGTAAAAAAAAAATGGCATGATGATGCTTTTTAATGAAGCTTCATGGGTTTGAAAATTATCTTTGAATATATAGTACAAAGGAGTGGACACATTAATGTTAATAATAAGATAATAAGAAGAAACAGGTCATGTAAAACTACAACTACCACAAGCCCCACAGAGAGGACAGCACGGCGGCACAGAGGGCTGCAGTCACAGACAGCTGGACGGACGCAGCTCCGTTACACAGGTTAGTTGTGCAACACTTGAAGCTGCTGGTGTATGCTGCTCCCAGGATGCTGCCGGACACCGTCTTCCCACACAGATCCAAGTCCACACAGCCGCGGATGTGTAGGGTCAAAGGTCCTGTGGCATTGAACTCTGGGAGAAATGGAAACCAGAAGACGATGACAGCAAATGAAAATCAAATCTACTTGTTAAAGGGGCAAAATACACGTGTTGTGCTCTCTTATGAAGTAAAGGTTGATTGCAATTGTAATAATGTCCCTATTTGCGTTCAAGCCTCACTTGAAAAAAATAGGGCTTAATTTGCGCTGCATTATGTGGTGTACAAAATGTGATCGTGTCCAGCTCTTTTGGACTGAAAGTAGCAAGCACTCTATCCAAAAGTCCCATTCATTCTTGGAGCAGACACAAATCAATGCATAGATATATGATGAAAACTTCTTGGCAGAGGGGTTATAGCTTTTAATATTGTTCATGCTATTCATTTTTGGAAATGTTTACATTAACTCTACATTACTTCTGTTGTCCTTGAGCTATTGTTGTAAGCATCTAAAGTTCAATGGCAAATCCAAAAATTAAGAAAATGTGATAAAATCCAAAGCCTTTTAAACTATTTTGTCATGTAGCAGTCAATATTTTGATGCTAAGTTATTATGTTTAGTTTTATTATTACATGTTATAGTTACATTCCAACCCTTGTTAATTCACAGTATATTCAGAGTGTTTTCCTTACGTGCTTCCCCACGAAAGCAGCCCTCAGTCCCATTATTGCATACAGTGTCGCTTCCAAACAGACATGTCCCAAAAATACCAACAGGGCACTGACGGCAGGTCAGGCATTGTGCTGTTCAATGAAAAGAAGAAGACGGCATGTGAAATCAGATACAGTAACTCGCTCAACAACATATCCTCAACATTTCTTATCTACACAGAAGTGTGCTAGATTATAGTTCCTCAACCAGCACTGCATTGAACAAAGCTAGTTTGTTTAATATGTATAAAATCAAAAGTGTAAAAATACAATCCGTACTGCAGGAGTCTTCAAAGGTGCATGCTAGCTGTTTTGGTCATACGATTAAGTACCAACAGACCTGAAATGTGTTGATCCTTTTGGTATTCAAAATACAAATAACTGTGTGAGGATTCTGGTGTCAGTAATAATATGCTTTAAAACTGCTTTTAATTTCTATGCTGTGTTTGAGGGGGAACAAATAAAGCTTTATGTATCCTTGTTTATTGCCACAACATCTTGAACAGGGACTCTTATAAAACATATTCAGGAGTACTCTGCTAGATCTGTGGCAATTAGTGCTGGACCAGACACTTATACCCGACTGACTGAATATAATTGAGCTGCAGTGCAGTGAAATCCCCTGAGACCTAATCATAAAAAGGCCTTACAAGCAACAGTTAAAGCTATTTATTTTTAGACTATAGTTATCATTCAATTACAATGTACGGTTAACAAAGACAAGAAAATCACACTTAGTTGGTACAGTCAGTCAACGTTCAGTTTAAAAGACATTTTTCAACTAGATAAAGGAATAAAGGCAGCAGTCATAACACCTGTAGTTATTCTCAACTAACCTGCGGCGATGATGGCACTCAGCACAATCCCTGCTGTCCAAACGCTCTTCATACTTGAGGTTGAAAAAAGCAACAATTAGCTCTAAAAAAGTGCTGAATGGTCTAAATACCTGTGTCAGTCAAGTGAGTTTTAGTAGACTTAATGAGAAGACTCTGTTAAGACTGACTGAAGGTAAGGAGCAAGAATGTGGTTCATCTTGTTTGGAGTTCCTGCGTGAAGAGGAAGTCGTTTTAAACAGAAACTCAGCTTGGAGGACAAACTCACAAACAATACATTTGAGCTTGAACAACTTTATTATTAACTTTCAACATGCAGCAAAAGGTTTCAAGCAGATAAAATATTATTTTGAAGTGGCCGAAGTCTGTCGATGTTCATGAGAATGGACAGCAAGAACTTTATTACAGTACAATTTTAAACCATAGAGACTACAACAATGGGTGTATACCAATAAAGGAGTGTATCCAAAGTAGGTCAATCGCATTATTTCATGCGTGCATACAGAGAAAACACCCAGTCATGAATAGGATCTCTTTTGTTTCCTTTAAAGGCTCCATGTGCTCCAAATGGCCATTAGGGCGGTGCCCAAAGCAGCAGTGAGAGGGATGTGGATGGATGTGGCCCCGTTACAGAGGTCTTTGCTGCAGCAGGCCCTGGTGATGGTGTATCCTGCCGTCAGGAGGGTTCCCGATTCAGTTTTGTTGCAGAGAGATAAGGGCATGCAGCCTTGATGGTGCAGGGACAGAAACTGACTGATGTTGAAAGCTGAGGGAGGAAAAGTAGATCAGAGTGTGAGGTTCAAATGAATAACTCAGTGAAGAAGCAACAAGTCAAAGACTGTTACTTGAAGGTCCCCTATTATACTATTGTATTATCTATCAATATATTATAGGTCTCAGATATATACAAAACATGTCTCTGAAGTGTTTGGCTCGAAATACCAAACAGATCATGCATTGTAGCATCCCATAATCCCCTCTGTTTCAGCCCTGTTTCAAAAGTGCTAATTCTGGGTATGTTACTTTAGATGAAAATAAGGAGCCACTCCCCACTCCCCTCTGAGAGATATTTGGTTAAAGTAAACACAATGGTGCTAGCAGGAGATTCAGGTGATAAGGTGGGCGGGGTTACCTTGGTTGGTGATTGGCTAATGGTTACACAAGCCAAACAAACGTTATGACATCGTAAAGGGGCCAAAACCTGATCAGCTCATTTCTTATACATGTAGTAAAGAAGTTATAAATTAAGTGGCAGAAAATGGAAATCCTAAAGTATGAATTAGGTACCCGTAAAATGTACCCAGCTGCTTTCTACCACCATGTCATGTGTATATCTATCTGTACTAGTCCGACCCAAGACAGCGTGTAATTAACGTTTCATCCTGTGGGTGGCATTAGAGGGTTTATAATGTTTGCTTTGGGCATGGCAGGTGCTCAGTTGTGCCATAGAAACATCAACAATGGCTTAAGAGTAAATGTTGTTAGAATACTGACTCACCCAAACATGTTCCTCAAGATAAAGCAGTAAGACTATATTATATGTTCATCTTGCTATCTTCCTCAAAGGGCTTAGGAGTGATTTGTACTGCTGCCCATATGATTGAACCCATTTTAATGCAAATTAAATGCATGTGACATGTAGGGATAATATTTTCCAAAGCATGATGTTAATTTTTAGTCCAACATCTTGTGAAATATCTTCATTCACTTTATTGCTGAGAGTAAGATGACCCTAAATATTAGACAGATCTCCATCACCATGTTTTGCTCTTGTCAATATTGTAACCAAGATTCATTTTTTAAATGGGAACCGTTCCTCTGAAGAAGTGACATTAAACTAAATGGTTGGTGTATTTTTCAAGGAATTATCCTTTTACATGATTAACAGTAAACCAGTCTGTATTCAGATGATCTACATCATAACCTTTATTTGTTTTTTCCAAGTAGCCTTGTAAAATCTACATGTAACTTTTCCTTTTTTTACAAAGATAATCCTCATGGTTGCTACATCCAAGTGCTTGTGAAAAAACGCCATAATCCAAATTAAGAATTGTTTTCTAATTGGTACATAAACTCACCAGCCAAGAAAGGTAAACAAATCAGTTTCCAATAGATTGTTTTGAGGAAGGGCTGCATTAAATGTATAAATGTTAATCGTCTCAATCGTGCAAAACCAAGTCATGCCTCAAGATGGAGCAGAAAGTCATTGTTGATTGTTAAAGTTGAAACCTTTACATGTGTGGGATGTTCGCAGTCACACCTCAATCTGTACAGCCAGAACACGTTTTTCATCTTCTGCAGTGTCTCACAGTGTGTGAATAGTGTTTACTGAGGCAGGATACTCCCATCACATGATCCTTGAGTTGTTGCTCACCTAGATCTGCTGAGAAGCAGCTGGGCTGAGTGTCGGTGCAGTTCTCCGTGGATCTATACAGACATCTCCCTTTGAAGCCCATTCTGCAGGTGTGACAGATCAGTGACTCACCTGGGAGCCACAGAGAAAGAGAGACAGGGATAGAGAAGGGAGTGTTATTATTGTTATTAAGTATAGAATAAGTACACCTATATATACTCTCATTAAAAAACCCTTACACAAACCCCCACTATACTAAAGAGATCATCTTCTCATCAACTCAATATATCACTGAAATATGCTAAGTAGTACAAATAAAATAAACTTTCAGTAATTTAGTAAATGTCTTCGAAGACATTTACTAAATTACTGAAAGTGTATTTTATTTGTATTTTATTTTAACTCTCTTTTTCATTCTGTGAGAGTCACAGGTACTTTTGTTTTTAATCCTTGATTGATTGATGATAGGAAGTATACAGCCGCGCTCAGCAAAGACCCCACAACAACATATTATCCTGATATTTATCCGACAGTGGCTCAGTCAGTAGGGGCTTGGACTGGGAGCCGTAGGGTCGCTGGTTCAAGTCCCCGACCAGACCTAAATATGGAGTGTGGACTTCTACTTGGAGAGGTCCCAGTTCACCTCCTGCCCTGCCGTGGTGCCCTTGAGCAAGGCACCGGACACCCCCCTTCCCCCCCACTCCCATTGCTCCCCGGGCGCTGTACAATAGCTGCCCACTGCTCCTAGTACTAGACTCCTTGTACTAGGATGGGTTAAAAGCAGAGGCCAAATTTCACTGTGTGTGCTGTGTGCTCTGCATGTGTGACCATTAAAGAGGGTTTCATCCCTCCTATTCTTCTTCTTCTTCTATTTAATCACAATACAAGGTAATAGCAATTTTTGACTTTTGGTGAAATTGCTGATAATTGCGTTTGCTAAACTGTGTGATTTCATATAATTTTTCTATTACAAAAGATTCCGTTTAACTCCATTATCCATCCAATGAACCAGATTCAAGCTCCTTGACATAAGTTACCTGTTTATATAATAAGGTTTTGTAAAGATATGAGCAGCAGTCACATTTTCTCCAGCTTGATACAGTTTATGGAATTAAAATGTACTTCCATGTCAGAATAACAAAGTGTCCACAGTGTTAAATATCTTTTGCAACATGAGATGAGAGTTTATTGTCATAAATTAGCTGTTTGCTCGTTCAGGATGTACGAACATTGTCACAGATAGTTTTTTGATTAATGAGACATTGTCAAAAGTATAAGTATAAAGAAATAAAAAGAGGAAAGAGTTTCCCCACACTGTATGAGCATGAGTTTCCAGTTATTTGTGGCTTTCGGCTTTCAGCCTAAGCGAGTAATGCTCTGGGAGGACATACATTGTAAAGCTTTCTATACACTCTTTGGCATTCCTTGTATCCTGGTAGAGATAAACACAACTATTTTATTTGTATCTCTTTACAAATAAAATAGCCTACAAACTTAATTTCAACATATTCAACATATCAGAATATCTCTTAAAAACATATGAGATCAGTCTGAGCTGTGGATGTGAGCTGCTACAAATACAAATCTACGACATATAAAAGATATAACTCAAAAAGTAAATTATTTTATATTATTACATTTTGTGGAAACGTTACTTAGGAAACATATAAATGTAAAGCTAATCTATATATATATTTATGTTTTTATTAACTTTATTTAACTAGGTAAATCCCATTGAAAGTAGCAAAACACTTTTCCAAGGTAGCCCTTGTATCAATTCAAATGAATGTTTTTTGACCCAAGTAGAAAAATAAAGATAACGTTCCACTTTGTAAACACGGAAAATACAAAAGCGTCTCTTGTTTGGTGATCTTACCTGTAACAAACATGGCCATCAGTGCCGCACAGACCCAGATGAACTTTGTCATTTTGCTCTCGAATCAAATTCTTTTTGAAAGAATGAAGTAGATGTCAATGTAACAGAGACAGTAAAATATCCAAAAGCGCAGGTGAGCTGCTGGTCAGGGCGTCAGCTTTTATATCAAGGGTTCGATATCAGGGGCTCAGAGAGACAATAACATGATGTTGACATTGCTTTCAATCGTCAACCACATGTGCATATTTTGATTACCTCTATCTTATCCTCTAAAAACCAGAGGTCTATTAAAGCGCCTAACAAAGAGAGATGAGATGACTCATTCCTGCCTCTGTGTGTGTGTACACATTTTATTTGCACGTGTGTTTGATCAGTTGTGAACTTCTGAGCAACAACACATGCATTTTCTAAAGCTTCAGACAACAAAGCTTCAGACAACAAAGCTTCACTCTAAAAATCTTCAACAAATATTGGGATCTTTTGTAAAAGCAACGAGGGGACACTCCCTTCATGGAGCTAAAGAAGGATGGCATAATGATAGAAGATGCATTGTTCACTTCAGATCATGAGCATGATGAACATTTAATTCAAAAATTAGTTTTATTTTACGCTGCAATGCTTGGTCTTCTGAAGAATAATTCAACATTTTGAAACAGCATTAACTTACATCAAAGAAAGGGAGGAAATTCTTCAAAAATGATCTTTGTTTGAAGTCTTAAAGTTTACTTTCTTGCAGGTAGTCAATTGTGTGAAAAACTTGTATTTCCGAATGGACTTTAAATGTAGGTGGTGGATGGGATAGGTGGGAGATGTTGGAGCAATACTTGTTAAGAAGAAAATGGAGGAAAAAGCTTGCTTCAGTTGTAACATTGTAAGTCTTGTATCTCTTTTTCAATTAAAAAAAAGCAAAAATGTAGAATTATACCTCTTTGTTTGTTCAACATCTGCTTTTACTACCTTGTCTCATAGAAAGTGTGCTA